CACATTGCCAGAATGGACACCACTGCACATTTTAGAAGCCTGTCAGGACTAGTTTAGACTTTACCTTCACACACCACACCCGCGTCCTCACTGTGGCTGCAGTCATGGATCCCAAAGCCCCTTTGATGACACTGGGACAGCTTAGTTTCCTCTCCTGTACACGCCACATCGTCCATCCAAAATGCGGGCCAGTGCCCTCTCCAAAAAGAGCTTCTGTAGGAGCAGAGAGCACCCTGCCACAGCCCAGCTGTCTGCACACCACCTGGGCATCCTGCAAGCTCCAGAAATCATCACACACTGTGCCCCACTGCCCCTCATGGAAGATCTCCACTCGCCCAGAGCATGAGCTGTTCCCTCCATTGACCAGGCGCACCTCTCCCTCCACCCCGCTTACACCTGTTTAACACAACACATTCTGAGGTTAAAGAAAAACTGCGTTGGTATTGCAATAATATTTCAAAATATAAAGAAGCACAATAAAAAGACATTCAGATTGGGCCCAAAATGAATTATATGTTATGATTATCTCCTTTATCTTGAGGAGTGGTCACACGTGCCTTTATTCTTTGTATACACCAAGAGGAATACCAAAAGTAACATGACGAGTTTTAATAACACATTTTGAGGTTTACAGAAATGTTGCATAACTTTGTTTTTTTTACATTTTGAGTTATTCTGCATAACATATATCATTCAGAAATCCCTTGGTGGACTACTTGGAAGGGGATGGAGAGCTACTGGTAGAAACCTGGAAACCTTCGCCGGTGTTTTGACCTAATTAGCTCAATAATGTGACACAATGACTTTCCAGTATTGAACTTTTTCACAGTTTTTTTAATTTTCTGAGACACTGAATTTGAGTTTTCATTATCTGTAAGCCATAATCATCAAAATGTCAAGATCTAACTTGAAAGTTTCTCTGTGTGTTATGAGTCTAAATAATATATGAGTTTGACTTCTGAAATGAGTAACAATATTGAACATTTACAGATATTCTTTTTTGTTTTTAGTATTACATAAGGGTGAGTTGTTGAACAGTTATGGAGTATGGTATGAGGGATTTGAGCACTCAACCAATGATTTTCATGTCGACAGCGGGATTCGAACCACTGACCTTCGGCTCAATGGACAAATGCTGTACCATGTGAGCTACTGTTGCCACTATTATTAGTTTGTCTACATCTCCAGAGATCAAAATGCTCTGTTCCTCCTTGTGATGTCATCAAGCTGTAGTTTTCATGTTAACTACTCCTTTTACCTTTAGTTCAGTAGAGATTGGCAATTCTAGAGCTGAAATCATCAAAATAATCCTGGTGAAGGTACAAGGACTTAAAAAAAAACAGGGGAGCACTTGTATTACCACATGACATCACAAAGTGGAACAGATACAGTGCAGTAAGAGCCTTATCAAGTGCAGTTCTCCACTGTGATACAAATAAACATATTGTATAAAATATATCAAGTCATATGAAACATTTACATAGACGAGCAATGCAGCAGAAATGTTTACCTGAAGCACATCTCGTACTGATCTGCAAAATTAAAGACAGAAACAAGACTCCAAACTTCCCCATTTCTTCTGGAAAGCAGCCAAGATGAATTTTCTGCAACATAAATAAATAAACAAAAAAGAAATATAATGACTTGCACAATGAATAGTCAAATAACATAAATATGGTTGTTACTTCTCTCTGTTCAGTCAAGCTTAAAAGTCGGTGTTATCAGAGCAGATTGATGTGAAAACATGAAAACACCACAAGAGTGATTAATTTGACACAACTCAAGTCAATTATTACAAAACAAATGGACCAAAACAATAGTGGAGCACTTTCTATGAATTCTAGGCCCAACCACAGGAGCTGAGTGTGTTTGTTACAGCTTATTTGTCCTAAAACATTAAGGACAAGCACATCAAAAAATCATAATTTCACATTAGTCTATCAGTATTAAAAAAGCTGCATTTTATTTTATTTTATTTTATTCATTTTATGAACACATTTCTATGTTCTATAATCCCAGACTGAATGTCTCTGCTCTACCTCAGGCATGTCCAAAGTCCAGCTCACAGGCCTCTGTGTCATTTTATGTGGCACCCGTCTTATTTATCATTTGCATTATGAAAAGACATTATCAGACAAAACTATTGCACTCGACAAGAGCATGCTGACAAGGTGAAGCAATGGAAGGCTGTCTTTTTGTCTCAGCAGTGATTTTTCATTCGGGCATGGGAGTCTAAAGAAAATGCAAGCAAAGTAAGAAGATGGAGACGACACAATCAAACTGCATTATTCATCAGCAGGTACTCTGCACAAAGCACCTCAAATTTAATCATGTTTTAAAAAAAAAAAAAAAAAAACTGCGATTAAGGCATTTAACAGAATTAGATCAAAAGCTTTTTATCACTACCAATTCTAATAGTTCCTTCATGAGTACGGAGACGTGCTTTATCACACTGATGTGAAATGGCTCAGCTGTAGGACAGCACTACAGTGCATTGTCTCTCCGGGAGGAGATTGTACAGTTTCTGAACCAAAAGGGACAGACACTGGATGAACTGTCAGATGTGGCTGACAAACTTGACTTTTCTTGTTGATATAACAAAACACTTGAACACACTAAATGTCAGATTCCTAGTGACAGATGCAGTTGTGAGCCAGATTTACGCTCACATCAAGGCATTCAAATTAAAACTGCCTGTTGCAAATGAATCCTGTTACCACACATTTCCCCACATTACAGGAGGTTTTGGGAAGCCTCCCTCCGGACACTGTCCAGGTACAAAAGAAGAAACATACAGATGCCAACGAAGTATTTATGGAGAAATTTAACGAGCAGTTTTGTGACTTTGTGACAATTGAACAGAACCTGACACTGTTTTCTTCACCTTTCTCTGTGAACCCTGATGATGCACCGCCCCAGTTGGAGCTCATCAACCTGCAATGTGACAACTCAGAGCGTAACAAACAACATCAGCTTTCTCCTGTGGACTTTTATCACAAACTGGACAAAGGCAGGTTCACAGAAATGCGCACATTTGTCAAAAGAATGCAGAGCTTTTTTGGTTCCATTTACATTTGGTAAACAAGCTTCTCTCTAATGAACTTAAAGTAGTTAAACTAAGTTAAGTGATGCACATTTATGAACATATTCTGCATCTCATCCACTGCTTTTAAACCTGATCTGGCATGTTTACTCCAAAGTCCAGCATCACCTATCTCATTCATATCAGTGACGTTAATAGTGTAATAAGTGTTAATAATTGGTTCATTTACATTTAGAGCAGATTTAAAACAAGTTCAGATAACTGTGCCTGTTTGTGACAAATTGTCAATGAAGTGTAGCCTACTTGTTGCTGTTTGAGTGGTTTTGTATGAAATAAATCCAATCCAATCCATTTTATTTCTATAGCACATTTCACAAACAGTTTCCAAAGTGCTGCACATAGTGCAGAGTGTTGCAGAGGTTAGGGCCGACCACAGAGAAGGCCCTGTCCCCCCTGGTTTTAAGTCTCGTCTGAGGCACCCTGAGCTGGAGCTGGCCCTCAGACCTCAGACTGTGCAGGGGTGTAAATTTGGATGAGGTACTGATGTACTGTGGGGCCAGTCCATTTGAGCTTTAAAAACAAACAATAAAATCTTAAAATCAATTCTAAAATTAACAGGAAGCCAGTGCAAAGATGCAAGGATTGGGGTATGCAAGGATTGTGCTCCCTCCTTTTTGTTCCCGTTGAAAGTCGCGCTGCAGAGTTTTGGACAAACTGTATTAGGTAAAGTGCGTTTTGTGAAATGCCGGAATAAAGTGCATTACAGTAGTTCAGGTGTGATGAAATAAAAGTGTGCATAACTTGTTCAAAAAGTTTAAAAGATAAAAAAGGTTTAATTTTAGATAAAAGCTGCAAATGATAAAAACTTGATCTATTTGTCAAATTTAAAATCACTGTCTAAGGTNCACTCGTCCAGAGCATGAGTTGTTCCCTCCATTGACCAGGCGCACCTCTCCCTCCATCCCCGGTATCGTTGTACCCAGGAGTGGTGGTGTGGTGTGGGTGGTGGGGGTAGTGGTGGGTGGGTGGGGGGTAGTGGTGGTGGTGTGTGTGGGGGTAGTGGGTGGTGGTGTGGTGTGGTTGTGGGGGTAGTGTGGTGGTGGTGTGTGTGGTAGTGGTGGTAGTGGTGGTGTGTGTGTGTGGTTGTGGGGTGGTGGTAGTGGTGGTGGGTGTGGTTGTGGGGGTAGTGGTGGTGGTTGGAGTGGAGTGGTGGTGGTGGTGGTGGGAGTGGTGGAGAAGTGAGTAGGAGTTGTGTTTTCACCTGGTTAACACAACACATGTTCTCAGGTCAAAATAATGTACTGCATTGGTATTGTATTAATATTTCAAAATATAAAGAAGCACAATAAAAAGACATTCAGATTGGACCCAAAAATGAATCATATGTTATGATTGTCTCCTTTATCTTGGGGAGTGGGTCACATGTGCCTTTATTCTTTTTATACCAAGAGAAATACACAAAGTAACATAACAATTTTTGATAACACATTGCCTAATTTCTTAAATCCGCAATATGTAAACTTTTTCTTGAAGAGGGACTACAATCTCCTTGTCTCCATGGAGTTGTTATTGTTTTGCCTAAAATGTTCCACAATATGACATTAAAATTATGGCAAGACCAGTCACAGCAAGAATGCATGCTTTAAATTTGTCTTAGCAATAAAATTGTAAACTGTAATTTCATCAATATTGAAACATCTCCAAAGAGACAAGCAGGTTTTTGACCCAACCAGAAAAGTTACATAGTACACCTTTAACAGTCACAAAAGTTTGAAGACTTATGTGGAGCTTTGCAAATACTCAAGTAACATAAACTGCAGTGTATTTCTCTTGAGCCATAAAAAAAAATATAATACTAGTATACTGAACAGTCCAGTGTGTTTACCTTCACATATGACACCAGCGTCTTCACTGTGATCACAGTCATGAATTCCAAATCCATTATGCTGACAGTCTGTTACTGATGTTTCAGATCCCGTACAGTTGACCTCGTCCAGCCAGATGTGTCCTGTGCCCTCTCCAAAAGCTGCAATAAAAGTGCAGCTTGCACTGGGCCACAGCCCAGCTGTCTGCACACCACTTTAGCGTCATTCAAGTCCCAGGAATCATCACACACTGTGCCCCACTGCCCCCGGTGGAAGATCTCCACTCGTCCAGAGCACGAGCTGTTCGCTTCATTGACCAGGCGCACCTCTCCCTCCATCCCAGTACCAGGAGAGGGTAGAACTGTGTTGTTTTTACCTGGTTAACATGAACAGATGTTTTCAGGTCAAAATAATGTACTGCATTGTTATTGTAATAATATTTCAACATATAAAGAAGCACAATAAAAAGACATTCAGATTGGACCCAGAAATGAGTCATATGTTCTAACACATTTTGAGTTTTACACAAATGTTGCCTAACTTAGTTTCTTAAATCTGCACTATGTGAACTTTTTATTGAAGAGGGTCTGCAATCTCCTTGTCTCCATGGAGTTGTTATTGTTTTGCCTAAAATGTTCACAGTCAAGAAGAATGCATGCTTTTAAATTTGCAGCAATACAAGCTCTACAAGCAGACAAGCAGTTACATAGTACACCTTTAACAGTCACAAAAGTTTGAAGACTTATGTGGAGCTTTGCAAATACTCAGGTAGCATAAATTGCAGTGTATTTCTCTTAAACCATGAATTATCACAAAATATTGAACAGCTCAGTGTGTTTACCTGTACACTTCACACCAGCGTCTTTGCTGTGACCACAGTTGTGATTTCCAAATCCATTGTGCTGACAGTCTGTTACTGATGGTTCAGATCCTGAACAGGTGACATTGTCCAGCCAGATGCGTCCTGTGCCCTGACCAAAAGCTGCAGATAAATTTGCAGATTGCGCCTGGCCACAGTCCAGTTGCCTGCACACCACATCAGCATCATTCAGGTCCCAAGAATTGTCACACACTGTGCCCCACTGGTTGTCATGGTACACCTCCACTCTGCCCGAGCAACGGTCTGTCGAGTCCACCAGCCGCACAGGAGAAAGAGCTGAGGACACAAGCAGACTGTGTTACCATCAGAGATACATAAGGTCCTGCTCACACATTGCCAGAATGGACACCACTGCACATTTTAGAAGCCTGTCAGGACTAGTTTAGACTTTACCTTCACACACCACACCCGCGTCCTCACTGTGGCTGCAGTCATGGATCCCAAAGCCCCTTTGATGACACTGGGACAGCTTAGTTTCCTCTCCTGTACACGCCACATCGTCCATCAAAATGGGGCCGGTGCCCTCTCCAAAATTAGCATCTGTAGGAGCAGAGAGCACCCTGCCACAGCCCAGCTGTCTGCACACCACCTGGGCATCCTGCAAGCTCCAGAAATCATCACACACTGTGCCCCACTGCCCCTCATGGAAGATCTCCACTCGTCCAGAGCATGAGCTGTTCCCTCCATTGACCAGGCGCACCTCTCCCTCCACCCCGCTTACACCTGTTTAACACAACACATTCTGAGGTTAAAGAAAAACTGCGTTGGTATTGCAATAATATTTCAAAATATAAAGAAGCACAATAAAAAGACATTCAGATTGGGCCCAAAATGAATTATATGTTATGATTATCTCCTTTATCTTGAGGAGTGGTCACACGTGCCTTTATTCTTTGTATACACCAAGAGGAATACCAAAAGTAACATGACGAGTTTTAATAACACATTTTGAGGTTTACACAAATGTTGCTTAACTTCTTTTTTTTAAAATCTGCACTATGTAACTTTTTCTTTAAGAGGGTCAACAATGTCCTTGTCTCCATAGAGTTGTTATTGTTTTACCTATAAGAGGGGTCTCCAGCATTTTTCTTCTGGTGAGCTATTTTTAGAAAATCAAAATGCCAGAGAGCTACTAATTTTAATGGTAGCAAGAAACAGGGTAAGCCTTAGATGGAGTACAAGGAGATGCCCATACAACATAAACCATTATTCATGTATTTGTGCACAGAGTTAGGCACAAGTGGTAATAGTTATGTAAATAATACATTTTGAGTTATTCTGCATAACATATATCATTCAGAAATCCCTTGGTGGACTACTTGGAAGGGGATGGAGAGCTACTGGTAGAAACCTGGAAACCTTCGCCGGTGTTTTGACCTAATTACCTCAATAATGTGACACAATGACTTTCCAGTATTGAACTTTTTCACAGTTTTTTTAATTTTCTGAGACACTGAATTTGAGTTTTCATTATCTGTAAGCCATAATCATCAAAATGTCAAGATCTAACTTGAAAGTTTCTCTGTGTGTTATGAGTCTAAATAATATATGAGTTTGACTTCTGAAATGAGTAACAATATTGAACATTTACAGATATTCTTTTTTGTTTTTAGTATTACATAAGGGTGAGTTGTTGAACAGTTATGGAGTATGGTATGAGGGATTTGAGCACTCAACCAATGATTTTTCATGTCGACAGCGGGATTCGAACCACTGACCTTCGGCTCAATGGACAAATGCTGTACCATGTGAGCTACTGTTGCCACTATTTATTAGTTTGTCTACATCTCCAGAGATCAAAATGCTCTGTTCCTCCTTGTGATGTCATCAAGCTGTAGTTTTCATGTTAACTACTCCTTTTACCTTTAGTTCAGTAGAGATTGGCAATTCTAGAGCTGAAATCATCAAAATAATCCTGGTGAAGGTACAAGGACTTAAAAAAAAAACAGGGGAGCACTTGTATTAGCACATGACATCACAAAGTGGAACAGATACAGTGCAGTAAGAGCCTTATCAAGTGCAGTTCTCCACTGTGATACAAATAAACATATTGTATAAAATATATCAAGTCATATGAAACATTTACATAGACGAGCAATGCAGCAGAAATGTTTACCTGAAGCACATCTCGTACTGATCTGCAAAATTAAAGACAGAAACAAGACTCCAAACTTCCCCATTTCTTCTGGAAAGCAGCCAAGATGAATTTTCTGCAACATAAATAAATAAACAAAAAAGAAATATAATGACTTGCACAATGAATAGTCAAATAACATAAATATGGTTGTTACTTCTCTCTGTTCAGTCAAGCTGAAAAGTCGGTGTTATCAGAGCAGATTGATGTGAAAACATGAAAACACCACAAGAGTGATTAATTTGACACAACTCAAGTCAATTATTACAAAACAAATGGACCAAAACAATAGTGGAGCACTTTCTATGAATTCTAGGCCCAACCACAGGAGCTGAGTGTGTTTGTTACAGCTTATTTGTCCTAAAACATTAAGGACAAGCGCATCAAAAAATCATAATTTCACATTAGTCTATCAGTATTAAAAAAGCTGCATTTTATTTTATTTTATTTTATTTTTTTCATTTTATGAACACATTTTTGTGTTCTATAATCCCAGACTGAATGTCTCTGCTCTACCTCAGGCATGTCCAAAGTCCAGCTCACAGGCCTCTGTGTCATTTTATGTGGCACCCGTCTTATTTATCATTTGCATTATTAATAATTCACCAGACAATGCCCTCGCTGAAAAATCTGATCTTAAGACAGCTTTGACATGAACTGTCGCTATTTACCACTCTGCGTCAGTGAAAAAAAAGTTGATCACGAGGACCAGAAGTTCCAAGAAAAATGGAAAGAGCAGTATTTTTTCACACATTTTAACAACTGTGTTTGCCTAATTTACCAAGAAACTGTTGGGGTGTTTAAAGAATTCAATATGAAAAGACATTATCAGACAAAACTATTGCAATCGACAAGAGCATACTGACAAGGTGAAGCAATGGAAGGCTGTCTTTTTGTCTCAGCAGTGATTTTTCATTCGGGCATGGGAGTCTAAAGAAAAGGCAACCAGAGTAAGAAGATGGAGACGACACAATCAAACTGCATTATTCACCAGCAGGTACTCTGCACAAAGCACCTCAAATTTAATCATGTTTAAAAAAAAAGTCCATTCCGAGCGTTAAAAACAAGCAATAAAATCTTAAAATCAATTCTAAAATTAACAGGAAGCCAGTGCAAAGATGCAACGATTGTTATTCCTGTTGAAAGTTGTGCTGCAGAGTTTTGGACAAACTGTAGTAGGTAAAGTGAATTTTGTGAAATGCCGGAATAAAGTGCATTACAATAATTCAGGTGTGATGAAATAAAAGTGTGCATAACTTGTTCAAAAAGTTTAAAAGATAAAAAAGGTTTAATTTTAGATAAAAGCTGCAAATGATAAAAACTTTTATTTTAAAACATTGTTGATCTGTTTGTCAAATTTAAAATCACTGTCTAAGGTGATGCCAAGGTTGGTGACTGTGGGGGACCGAACATAATTTTTGAGGGGTCCCACATCAGTGAGGATACTGCTGGCCTCAAATAGTATCACCTCAGTCTTATCTTCATTCAGTTTTAAAACATTTTGGGCCAACCCATCCTTGACGTCAGATAGACAGTGGAGCAGGGGTGTCAGGGGGCAGTGATCCTTTTTGCCAGTGTTAGGCTTTGATTTCTATTAAATAAAAGTACATTTTCTTTTTTTTCTTTTTGTCTGCATACATTTATAATATGAAACCCACTGATAGTTTAGAAAACTGAGTTACCGTCCCCCTGGACAGGTTGGTTGACTAATGTGGCCCTGTAAGAAAAAAAGTTTGGACAGCCCTGTTCTAGCTCAATAAAAAGTACCCACTTTACAACAGTGACAGTAAGTACGCTCAAGCCCCTTCTAGCAGAGGACCTATTTCTTTTGCCCATGCACTCATCATTGTCAACTGTCCTCTCAGTCATCCTCAGTCCTCTGTCCTTCTTATAACCAAACTTTGAATAAAAGTGTGTACTCACGTCTGAGCAGGTGCGAGCGTCTGATGCAGAGTGGAGCACAGAGCAGCTTTTATTTCGCAAAAGAGAAATTATGTTTAACAAACAATGACCTGACCGTTTGGCCAAACTTGTTTGTTAATTAGCAGGTTAATTCACAGGCGTCATCATTGAAAGAAAACTAACAATACTTGTCTAAAAATATATTTAATAACCATGGTAAAGAGGTCAATGCACTCTGTTCGACTTGTTCCATATATAATTTAGTAATAACAGGAAAGACCAGTGAGGAAGATCTGCCTGTAGAAGTGTCCTCTGAATTGAAAATATATGTAGTTAATACGATTAACTGAGATTCAGGAGCAGGACCACGCCTCAGCCGCCCTCTCCTCTCACCGGCGAACCACAACTCACCTCGACCACGCCTCTAATTTCCCAGAAGCCTATATGTAGCAGCCTTTCCCATCATCCCAGTTTGTCTCGGCTAACTCGACCCCACCCTCCATCCCCTATTTTGTCTTTCAGTCATAAGACCCTACAAGGGGGGTCCCGTTCCGGCTGGGCCAATTGTTAGATGAACGGAGCCCCACCCATAGTCTCAACCCAGCATCTTTGCCTCGCTTTGTACATTATCAATAAACTACTTCGCACTATGTTGTCGTTGGCGTGGTCCTAGCTAGTGAAGTGGTGTTTAAACACATCTCCAGCTCTTGGCAGATTTGGTCTTTTTTGCCTGGGACCCAGTTCACTAAATTTGCAATCAGTGTCCTGTACTCCAGCTCCTGTCCAACTCTGATACACCCTGACACCACAGAGTCAGAGAAATTCTGCAGGCGGCAGGACCCGGCGCTGTACCGGAAATCAGAGGTTTAGAGAGTGAACAGGAACTGAGACAGAGACTGTACCCTGGGGAGCTCCTACATTAATGATCTGAATAGTATCAGAGCCCCTACATATTGTAGTGCTCTGTTGTAAGAAATCACACCAATGCTCTTCATGCTGTTACAGAAGGGCTACTGTAGGCCAGAACTAGGTCGAAACAACAGCAGTTTCAACTCAGCAGAGGCAGACTCCAACCTCCAGTAACTAAAGTAAACCAAAACAGCATTCCAGGAAGAACTGGGCCATGAGTTTTCAGGGTGGAGGTGCAGTGCCTTTGTAAATTAAATTCAACAAAAAAGATTAATTTTTTTTAATAACTAAATCTTTGTTAATAAGCAGGTAAGACACAATGTGTCATCAAAACTCAGAATGAAAACCAACGCCTTGTATGTAACTACATTACAAAATACACTCTGAAATAGTCACATTATATCATATATATATCATATTATATCATATTAATCCATGCATAATACCTTTTCAAAAACACTGGACCCTCCTGATCCAACATTTGTACTTTTACGCCTTTGGACAGTGGGTCAGGGGTTTTTCATCTGTTCTGTGCCCTAAACATATTTATCAGCCAGAATGGGACTGAAATGAGTTACAGTAGGCTTCCCTGCAGTGCAGTTATAGTGGTCCAGTGCAGACTCAGAGCAACGTAAATAATTTGGGTTTAGGAATTCTACGTAAATCTATATTTTGTTGTTGCACATTCACAGTCCATGTAAAGATGTAATTCCATGTAAAGATGCCCAGGGTGTGAGAGGCTGCTCATTTTCATCTCCCACGCAAGACGCCAAAAACATGAATATGGTGCTGTATCCTACTTGTGGATAGAGGCTTTTTCACACAATACCTTCTGTGCTCTGGGGCAACTTTGGATACGGCAGGGATGCAAAAACGGAGAAAAGACACTACAATCTGTACGTGCGTTTACAGTGACAGACGCCGAGGAACTCAAACACCTGATAATCTCCACAAAAGACTCTCTCTCCTCAGAACAGAAAGATTTTAAAACAGAGCTTAAGGAATTTAGGACCGACACTGAGAGAGACATAAAGCTGATAATGCAGCAAAATAAGTAAATCAGCGAAGATTTGGAGAAGGCGGAAGACTACTTGGAGTAGGGGTTGATGAGTCTCTGGACATAGAAATAAAAATAAAACCATAAAGCAATTAAATACCTGCCAAACAAGACTGAGGAGATGGAAGAGCGCAAGGATTATTTTGAGAATAAATCCAGACAGAATGATGTGCTCGATAAAAGTGAAGGCAGCAATATGATCTCAAGAAATATTTCCAGTTCAGTTAACCGGAGATATTGATGTAATCAGGGAGCATCATCTTTACAAAGAAGTTAAGATGCACGGGACACAAAGAAACGAGTCTGCGTGGAAAATGAAGGAATTTACAGTACAATGACACTCGCATCTTCTTTGAACATGATTTCACCCCAAAAGTACATCAACAGTGCACATCCTACAGACATGTGAGGAAACATCTTAACGAGAAAAACACCAAGTCCTGCAAAGTTTAATGATTTTATTTTATTTTTTATTTTTTGGACGGCAGAGCGCAGATCTTTGGAACACCCCATGCAGCTATCAGGGGCTTGGGTGAGCACAGGCTGATCACTGGGACCGCTGCTGGACAACTCCGCTTTGGAACAGTGGGGACGGCCCGGACAGTGGGAACAGCACGAGGCAGGACAAGTGGGAGAAGACGTGGATGAACTACTGCAAGAGCCTAGGATTACGTGAGTGACAATAAACATTTATTCATTAAGGCCAATAACCTACACGAGTAATCAAAGACATTGATTATTTTGAAAGGGTAAAGGGTTTGTGAGGGGGACAATTCACAATAAACTAGACATGACACTGATTAATTTTATGTTTCATTTTATGTGTTTGTATGTTGTATGTTGGTCTGTTATATGTCAGACAAATACCAGAAGTCATTTACAAATAATTCAACAAATATTAAGATTGCCGTCAATATGAACTCCAAACTATTTCTGGATAGCACTAGACTGTACAGCGTTCTGCTACATGTTACTGTAATGGCCCTGCAAACTCTATAAAAAGAAATGAAATGTTTGCGTGGTTGAAGGACAAACAGAATGTTGAAATAATTTGCATACAGGAAACCCATTCAATACCTGAAAATGAATTAAAGTGGAAATCAGAATGGGAGGGAGATATTTATTTTGGTCATGGGGTTAGCAGTAACAGGGTAGTTATGATCTTATTCAAAGGGACGTGATATATACAGTTCATAACCTGACATGGGAGACGGTCAGTGATGGATATAACAATAGATTGTTTAAAAATACAATTAATCAATCCATATGAAATCAGTTGCCCTCCCCTATGAGCCATCTCAGATTTGGCTGAAAAAAAATTCAAAAAATTACTAAAATTTTTGCTCAGTCCCTTCAGTTGTTCCTGAGTTATGGCCCGTTGAAATTTTGGGGCCATGCTCACTTTTTGGGAAGCCTTAATTTATAAGCATGTTTGAGAGACATAACTTCCTAAAAAAAAATCCTAAAAACTTCCTAAAAAAAAAATTTAGTTTGGAAGCTGAAAATTTGTATTATTGTAGATTGGTCATAGATTCTAAATCTGTTGTCAAATATTGCTTATCTTTATTAAGGGGGGCGCTGTGGGCCCCCCAAAATCTAACATTTGGTTGCTGCTCTATTTATTTTTATTTTTTTTTTCAATTTTTGAGGTCCAAAATCTATTTACTCCAAGCAGATATTTACAAACTAACCATTGAACCTGAATATTTGAGAGAATGACCATTTCTGACAACAATCTCACACTTTTCTGAGCTTTCATGTGGATGGTGTAGAGTCCCAAATATGGTCCCAGACCAAATGTGATCTTTTTGGCCTCTTCTTTGGACCCTCGGTTCACCATGTGGGCACTGTTAAATGTTGATAAATTTTTACCAGAGAAGCTTTGGCATATTCTGATTAGTTTAAAGTAATAAAAACATCTACTATTAACTTTCTTCATTTCAAATGGAATTTTTGAAAATGAGCTCTCACGGGTCATTTTCGGTGGAGCTTAGGTACTTTTCCACCTCCTAGAAAATTACTTAAGTACTTAATTAACTTAATTACATAATTAATTACAAAAATGAATGAAATTACCTTTAATAGCCTTAAACAGTAATTGCTTATTATAAGTGAAGACAACCAAATGTGAGATTTTGGGGGCCCACTACACCCATCTTAATAAAGACACCCAATATTTGACAACAGAATTAGAATCTACAATAATACAAATTTTCAGCTTCCTAGCTTTATTTTTTATGAAGTTATGGTCTCTCAAACATGCTTATAAATTAAGGTTTCCGAAAAGGTGAGCATGGCCCCAAAATTTCAATGGGCCATAACTCAGGAACGACTGAAGGGATTGAGCAAAAATTTTAGATTCTTTCATTTGGTCATTTTGAAAAAAAATTGTAATTTTTTGAGCCAAATCTGTGATGGCTCATAGGGGAGATTCCTCGAAAGCGGCTGATTTCATATGGACTGACCCCAATATATATGCTCCAAGTGAAGACAATCCACATTCCTTTAAAAATGTAGTACATCATATAAATTCAAAAGATAATTCTCAAAGAATTCTAGTAAGATATTTTAATACAGTTTTAGATATAAAAATTAGGCTTTAAATAATCATCCACAGGCTCTAAATGAGATAGATGAGATAAAAGATGCTGGAGAACCAAAAATCCCAGATTTTAGGCAATAAACTACAAGTCGTGTAGACTATTTTCTTATCTCCTTTTTCTTGATTTCTAAAACAATCAATTTCTCTATTGGGGACAAATTAAAATCTGATCATTCTATGGAAATACTTCAAGTTAGAACAGCAGAGCATCTCAGAGGTGAAAAGGATACTGGAAATTTAACCAATCTTTAGTGAAAGATGAAAATTTCATCAACAAAAAAATATTTATACTTTATACTTTTTTTTAATAAATGAAAGCACACAGCCAATCCTCACATAGTCTGGAAAGCATTTAAATGTGCTTTCAGAGGAAATTGTATTGAAATCTCATTTTGGAAAAAGAGACAGACAAGAACCAAAGAAAGGAATCTAATATAGGAGTTGAAAGATTTAATCAAAAAAACTT